ACTCATAGTTGGTGGGGAGTAACAACAGGAACTGCAGTCCAAGAATATCTGGAAGAGGGCCCAGTAAATAACTCATTTTCCTCTATCCTTCATCATATAGCCAAAAATATGTCCAAGTAGAAAAATATGCACCCTTCCTCAAGTCCTACTGTGCTGCCTCATCAGGGCAGTGGGGTGTTCCTGGGATGGATGAGCAAAGAACGCCAGGAGGATATGCCAAAGTATATAATCTCAGCAGGGTCTTTTAGAGTTGACACTAACTTGAGGGCACATAATTAATCAATCAATCAGTCAGAAAAATATACATGGGGTGGAGCTGAGTGGGGTGATGCACCCTTCCTCAAGTCCTACTGTGCTGCCTCATCATGGCAGTGGGGTGTTCCTGGGATGGATGAGCAAAGAACGCCAGGAGGATATGCCAAAGTATATAATCTCAGCAGGGTCTTTTAGAGTTGACACTAACTTGAGGGCACATAATTAATCAATCAATCAGTCAGAAAAATATACATGGGGTGGAGCTGAGTGGGGTGCAATGCCATGCCATTTATTTTCAGACAAGTTAAAACAGTGGGAGAGCCAGCTTGGTGTAGTGGTTAAGGCATCAGGCTGGAAACTAGGAGACCGTGAGTTCTAGTCTCACCTTAGGCACAAAGCCAGCTGGAGACCTTGGGCCAGTCACTCTCTCCCAGCCCTGTGAAGTAGGCAATGGCAAATCACTTCTGAAATCTTGCCAAGAAAACTGCAGGAACTTGTCCAGGCAGTCCCCAGGTGTCAACACTGACTCAAAGGCATGCAGGTGTGCACACGCGCGCACACACACACACAAAACCTACTACTACTATTCAATAGATATACAGTTCAGTCTGGCCTAATTACATTGTTCCACTACATTCCTCCTCCATCTAGTGCTGATATGAACAGCTAATGCAAAAGCTTTCCATCTCTGATCAGAGAAGAGGCTGTGATAGTCTCTGTAAAACTCACTCCTCTCTAGCTGCCATAAGCATTTGTTTTCTATCTGCAGCTGGTGAATTAATTTCAGAGGAAGTGGAGCAAGAGAATAGTGTGTTGCTGAAGCAAATGGGAACTAGTGGGAGGGTATCTACACATTTCTCTAATTGAGGAATCTGAAGTTCTGTTTCTGCAATTCAAGAGCGTCACAGTCCATGCCAGTCCTTATGGTTAACCAGAAAGTAACATACTGGGCAACATGAGTGCAATATGATATCCTGTAGTACTCAGTTGTGAATGTATGTTGAAACTATGGGCTCATGAGAAACTTGATACTTGTCTGTGTGAAGGACAGAGACATGCAGCTTTTTTGTTGTAAAGAATACTGACCAAATTCTTATATGCAGTGAGAATAAGATCTACTGAACACAGTAAGACTTTTCTCTTTGCATGTAAAGGGTCATGCAGCATACATCACAATCCCATAAGCTGTGATATGCCCAAATGTTTGAGTTTATGGTTCCTGAATTCCAGCCTCCTCACATTTGAATAAAATGTACTTCCTTTAGGTGCCAGCTTTACAGTGCCGACCCCTGAGACTTCTACAAGCTGTCTTAATCAGACAATACCCATTTCTTGTATTCCAGTGTACAAAATTTTAAAGAATAAAATTGTAGTCCTTATGCATATTCACTTAGAGTTGAATTGCAAATGTTTACAGGGATAAAATGTTAACGCAGGTATATACAATCCAACACACTACAGAACAGAAGACTGTTTATAAACTTCCCAGTTCCTCTTACTGAGTGTTAAAAAGCTATTCTTATGTTTAAGAGGCACTTTTCTTTCATATTCTTCTGACATTTCTGTCTCCTCTTCCCATATCACGACTGAAGGCTTCT